CCAAACACGCCATTTTCCATGGCGCCGGAAATATACCCTCCCTGAGGCATGCCGTAAAGCAAGACGTCCACAGTCGCGTAAGAACAACCGAGGTGCTCTTTACAACTCGGCCCGATATCCCATCAGGGCCCGGAGCCTTACCGAGATTTATCCTGGCAACAGTTTCGGAGACCTCCTCCTCAGTCACAGCCAGGGCCTCATCCCACCCAACGAGAGAAGGATCCAGATCGAGATCCCTCTCCCCGGGCGGAAACAAAGCCCCAACTACGCCCCTCACCACTACAGGAGGAAGAGACTCCACTAAACTGGATGCCTCAACACGCAGCTTGTCGAGGACAATGTTATACGGCATACCCCAGAGATCCGCATCCAGCGTTTCAAGCAGATCCACAGAATCAGCTTAGATCTTTTAATGGCGCCTCTCAGTAATTTCTTCGTCTCACGTAGATCGCCCTAGAGACCCCGAACCGTTTCAGAGTCCTAGTATTTACGACGCTGTCTTATAATGCGCCTTCGGATATGCACACATCGAACACAGAGATCCGCGATCATCGTTCCACCAGTACACTGATGATCTACCGGCAGTTTTCAGTTGTGGCATAGCGACACCCGAAATCTCTTTCAGCGCAATGTCTATCTTATCAGCCAATTGGTCCGCCGACATGTTCCACTGAGAAAAGGAAGGCCATGCCCTGACGTTGGTCGCCGCGCACAGTAGGTCCATGTCTATTTTTCCACCACATCACCGAGGAAAATGCTTCCCGGCTGCGACCCTTCTAAGGGGGCCCACTATTCGTTCTTGAACTTCATGAACACATACCGATGGTCCGAGAGGGACTCAGTGTCTACCGCCACATGCCAGTCACAAATACTTCTGGCAGCCGATGCCGAAACCCACGAAAAGTCCACGCATGACTCGCCTCGCGGGTGCACACACGTGAGCACGAAGCCTGAATTCAGGAGAGTCAAGTTCAACCCAGCCGGCTAAGGTTCTCTCCCTGTGATTTGCGTTACCTCTATCCCACGCAGGAGACCGAGCGTTGAAGTCCCCTAATATAAGCAGCGGTCTTCGATCGCAAGATTGAATCCGCATACTCAGGTCATATAGATCTCTCTCGAAGTCTGCATCTTGCAGGTTGGGGAAAAAGTGACAACTAAAAACAAGGAGTTTTTCCCACTCAACCGCTACAAAGCCTTCTTCTCTGAAGAGAGGCGAGCATGGAATATCCACACTGGAATAATGCCACACCAAGGTGGCAGTCAGCGGAACGTCGGAAGAAAAGAGCCACCGTCCCTCTGCAGCAGTTCGTTTCGCGCAAGTCTCAGGACACTACAGCCACGCACTGTTTAGGCCTCCCCTACCGGACCTCAATGGGTCAACACGAACGTCATTCAGTAGTGCCTTTCCATGTGCCGCAACAACAGCCCGTATCTCCTCGGCCGTCACCGACTCGTCCAGATCGAGGAAACGAAATTCGATCCTTCTGACCGGACGAACCATCTTCACTCCTGCTTGGTCCTTAAAGAGGGAGTTCAATTTTTCGGCTAAGGAATCCGCCTTAGTACCTCTCCTGGAATTTCCACCAACAAGCCGCCATCTATGCGCGCCTAACCCTGGTATCGGTGATGTCCAGTGCCTCTAGTTGAACGCTGGTCCTCGCCTCACCCATTACCTCCGCGTAAGACGGGCCACCCTCGTCACAGCGGATCATCACCACTGCAGAGCTCCGCTTTCGAGTTCCCGCGCGAACAGTCCGTTTGGGAGGAACCGTGGTTCTAGCCCCAGATTTGGGACGGACCCGAGGATCCTTCCCGGAAACCTCCACATCCCGAGTCTTCCGTGTAACCGCGGAGAAGGATAAATCCTTCCTCACCTTTCTCGCACCACTGGCGCTGTCCGACGCCACATCAGAGACACATACAGGTACATCACTACCACGATAAACTGTCCCTCCCTTTTCCTTTTTCTTCCTTCTTCTTTTCCCCATTACAGGATCCCAAGGCTCATCCTTCTCGGGACCTGAGGAAGGAGGCCAGTCCGAATTGTCCTTCCCCCGTGGATCAGTATCCTTCTGTACGTGGACCTCAACAGGAAGCACAATCCGACCCTTATTGTCGACCAATTTCCTCCGCACAAATGGTTCTTCCGGCAACGTCCTCGAGACTCCCGAGACGGAGGACGACGCGCTAGCGGGATATCCTCGGTCGCACGAAGAGCAGCCCTGCCCAGAGGAGAGGCGTGCAAAGATCGATCAGATTTCCCACGCTCTTTTCGCCCTGGCGCTTGATAGCCAAGAAGCTCCTTCTTTAGGATCTTGACTTTCTCATGGAGACTGTCTCTATCCCTTTGGATAATCTCTATTTGTTTCTTGAGCGCGTCCACTTCTCGCTCAAGCTGGAGGTCCGCTAATTATATTGGCTGGTTCCTGAGTCCTAGCCGAGTTCGCCGCTGCTGGACGGCCTGTTTGGCCACTTCAACTCCGACTATAATTTGCCGACGTAAATCACCTTTCATAGTCGAAGTTTTGCATTGTGCGCTGCTTGCCGCATCCAACACACTAAGAGTCTCCGTCATAATGGTCTTGGAAGACATCTGCGGAAACAAATAAGTAACTTCCTCCACGGCAGTCTTTTGCTTGGAAGTCAAGGAGTCGTCAAGAGGACACTCTTCCAACTTCCTCTTCTTGCCAGTCTGTCTGTCCTTCCTGGTGATCTGGAGGAAGTCAGGCCGATCCAGCATATCGTCATCGTAATCGTCCATCCTTGTGGCGCTTATTTTAGAGAGGGATTTAGCCCCAGGGACGTTACATCTCCTCACCATTTAACGTCACTTAGTCACTTCCAAAAGTTTGTTCGTATATACAAACACTATTTACACTATATACACTATGTACAATGTTTAAAAGTCCGTCCATACAGTCTAATCACACAGTTATTAGCGTTCATGCGCTCCCCACTAGGCCGCTTTTGGATGATTCACCCATTACCCATTCATCTCGTGGCCGCGCACCTCTACCACTAGACAGGGGGACATTTTATAGAGGACCCAACTCGCCGTCCGAGAAGTTGGGTGCAATCTCGGACGCTCGGTCTCTTCCATGGTGCAAGAAAAGAGATTACGAGAGCTCAGGCACCGCGGGTTCGCTAAATCCGTAGTGGAATCATATCGAGATGCGACCGAAGAGATCGGACCGCATTCGAGATGATCCCACTCCCTGCGGGACAACCAATCCAACCTAACCCAATCCAACTCAACCCAACCCAACATGAACAACCCAACCCAACTATGCTAACACAACACAAACCAACCCAAACCGACAAACTAAATCCAACCAAACCCAACCCAACCCAACCAACCTTTTTTTTTGTTTGCGTAGGAGGAGAAAAATCTTCGCAGCTCTCTCTCCCGAGGGGGACCCACGAGGGACACCCATCGGAGGGGGGAAGACGCCCAGCGACTCGCACCGCTGGATGTGCTGGATCCGACCGCCCCGTGATCTCAAGGATACACCGGAACGGCCGCCTACCGACTAAAAAACTCCCCCTTTCCCAAGCAGTACCTTATTGCACGCGTGAGAGCATCCCTGAACCGCCGACAGGCATTACTTCAGAGTGCTCCCAAAGTGCATACGGGATGGCTCCCACCGCACAAACGGGAACGTCTATTTACAAAACTTAAACGCTAGTTATATATACAATATTTACAAAAAAAGTATTTACACAACTAACCGCTACGAAGAGTCAGAGTCCCGCAAGAGAGAAGGAAGTACAGGCGGATGCACCACCCGGGCCCTCTGATCCCTCTCACGGTCCCTTTCTGCCTTCTTCGCTCTCATTACGGTCTCGCAGTAACGTGCGAAAGCTGAAGCAGACTTCGGAGGAGCCCAATCACCCGATCGTACTCTCGGTCCAAATCTAAATCCAATCTGAGAGCCACTAACAAGTTCCCCCTCTCCACAGCCCACGAGGGACAGTGGAGGAGGGTATGCATTGTCTATTGCCGCTTTACAATGCTGATAAATCGGCGATTCAGTCCTTCTTATTTCGTATAAATACGCCTCAAAACACCCGTGGCCCACGATGACCTGGGTTATCCTGTACGTGAGGCCACTATGAGCCCTCGTCATCCAGTTATCTAATCAACTCACGAGAGCCCCTCGGACCGCAGCCCCAGGCGCATCCCGTGGACGCTCCTCTAGCCTCCTGTAGACAGACGGTCTACCGGTGGTTTTCAGCCTCGACATTGACACATCCAAGATCTCACTAAGCGCCACATTCAACCTATCAGCCAATTGGTCCGCCGACACATCCCCCTGAGGGAGAGAAGGCCATGCCACGACATTGGCCGCCGAGCACAATATGTTCATGTCGATCCTTCGGTCACACTATCAAGGAAAGTGCTTCCTGGCCGTGACCTTACTAAGGGGGCCCACTACTTGTTTTTGTACCAGCATAAAAATATATCGGTGGTCCGAGAGGGACTCGGTGTCCACCGAAACACGCCAGTCACGGATCATTCTAGCGACCGAAGCCGAGGCTCAAGAGACATTCACCCACGACTCGCCTCGCGGGTGTACATACATGGACACAAATCTAGAGGTAAGAAGAGTCAGATCTAACCCCGCCGCCCAGTAGGCTAAGGTTCTCCCTCTACAATTAGCGTCGCCCCGATCCCACGCAGGAGACTGAGTGTTAAAGTCTCCTAAGACTAGAAGTAGTCTACGATCGCACAACTGAATACGCGCACCAAGGTCACACAGACCTCCCTCTCGAATTCAGCATCCGGCAGATTGGGGGAGAAATAGCAGCTGAAAACTACGAATTTTCCCCACTCAACCGCTACGAAACTTTCCCCCCTGAATAACGGCGAACACGGAATGTCCACACACGAATGTTGCCACACTAAGGCGGCAGTCAGCGGAACGTCGGAGGAGAAAAGCCAACGTCTGTTCTTGATCGAGTGTGGCTCCGAGACTGCCACAAGTCCAAGTTTTTTTCTCCTCGCACACCCGCGCGATTAAATCTTGCGCAGGTCACGACCGGTTAACATTAATCTGTCCAATGCTAACCATTGGAGTCCGTCACCATCCCCTCCTCCAGAGGGAACACTTCACGGCGCAGGAACACTTGGCTCCCCATGCTCACCATGCCTTACGTCCTTACCGCACGTCTCAGCAGCTACTGTCGCACGTATCGAACTGTTGTAAGGGACGCACCCTATTCGCCAGATTTAGCCCCCTCGGATTATTTTTTTCTTTCCAAATTTGAAAAAATGATTCGATGGTAAAAGATTTACCAACAATGAAGAGGTGGAGTCTGCGGAATGGCTATTTTGAAAAATTCAACGGTTCTTACTATAAACAAGCCATCGAAGCTATTGAACATCGCTGGGAAAAGTGTATCGAGCTAAAAGGAGACTATGTTGAGAAATAAAGATATTTTTTCCCAAATTTTTTGTGTTCTCTTTGTTAGGTCGAGGACTTCTGGGACCACCCTCGTAGGTCACTTCCTCCACTGCAGTCTTCTGCATGGAAGTCAAGGAGTCGTCAAGAGGACACTCCTGCAACTTTCTGTTCTTGCCTATCTGCCTGTCCTTCTTAGTAATTTGAAGGAAATCAGACTGATCCAGGAAATCATCATCGTAGTCGTCCATTCGCACTCATCTTGAAGAGGGATTTAGTTCCCGGAACATTGCTCCCCTTTGGCTTGCATCCTCTCTTCTTCCCTCGCACCGCGGCAGCATCGACCGATGTGATGGAGTCCGTCGAGATGCTGCATCTTTTCTCCGAGCTGTCTATCACGATCGGAGCATCTGAAGTTTCAACGGCAGTAACTGGCGAGTTCACTATATCACCGTCCACAACCGAAGTTCCCTGGGGAGACGTACGTTAGAAATAATTCTAAGGCCGGGTCCCTTGTCCTCGTCCTCACTCACCATCAGCACAGTGTCCTGGCTATCAGGAAACAAATTGTCCTCACACTTTAGAGATTCACCAATAGCTGACGTAGGCAATTTCTCCAAGTGCCTGTTAGCTTATGGCGCTTCAACAATGTACTTCTACTAGAACTGGAACCGGGTGTCTCGCAAACACCCCAACCCTCTCCACAATCTCTCCCTCAGCGATAGCCACATCGGCCGTGGAGCCTGCCGGCAACTCCAGGACTTGCCCCTCGCAGGATTCTCCCGTAGGGGTCGATTGCTTGGGAGCGGGGACACTACCCCCGGGAAAACGTGGCGAACATCCGACCTCTCGCCGTGTCTTTATCTTTTTCGAGCTATCCATATTGTATATATACCGGCGATGGAGAAGACGCTGGGTGACTCGCCGGCCAATTACCCAACTCACCTCTAACGATTTTCCGCGACTGCCTAAGCGGACGACCGCCCGACGGCAAGGACGACACCGTCGAACGGCCGCAAAGCGGGAGTCAGTGATCAGACTCACCCTTACCTTTTAGACTGTTGAACTCAGCGCACTAGATTGACGTATCCAAAAGAACATGCTCGAAACGAAAAAGTGGGATAGTACTTACCACCTTTCGACGAGCGTTCTTCAACACACCTCCAGGATAGGAAGCAGATAGCAAAACCCCAAGGGATAACCCACATCCTGGAGTCTCCATGTCAGAACTTCTACTGTCATAGTCCAAGTCCTTCGTAGATCTCTAGGTATCCTCCATCTCGATGTCACACAAGAGAGAACTGAACCAAAGCCCCGAGAACTTCACTATTAACCTCACTATCACCTCACAATTTAACTTCAGTTAGTCACTTCCCAAGTTTCATATATGTACACACTATTTACACTATTTATATTATACACAAGTTTAAAAGTCCGTCCATAATTTCACCTCACAGTCACTAGCGTTTCGTGCACTCCCCACTTGGTCGCTGTTAGATGATTCACCCATCACCCATTCATCTCGTGGCCGCGCACCTCTACAACGAGACAGGGGGACCTTTTATAGAGGGCCAAACTCGCCGTCCGAGAAGTTAGGTGCAATCTCGGACGCTCGTTCTCTTCTATGGTGCAAGGAAAGAGATTACGAGAGCTCAGACACCGCGGGTTCGCTAAACCCATAGTGGAATCATATCAAGATGCGACCGAAGAGATCGAACCGCGTACGAGATGATCACATCCCCTGTGGGAAACCCGACCAACCTAATCCAACCCAACACAACCAACCCAACCCGACCAACTTAATCCAACTAAACCCAAATCGACCCAACCAATACCGACTAAACCAGTCCAACCCAACCTAACCCAACCCATTCTGACTAATCCAATTTAACCCAAACCAACTCAACCCAACCTAACTCAATCCAACCCAATCAACTCAACTTAACCCAACCCAACCCGACCAAAACAACACAATTCAACCAAACTCAACCCAACCGAAACCGGCCAACTCACTCCAACCTAATCCAAACCAACCAAACCAAACCCAAGCCAACCCAACCAACTCAACCCAACCTAACTCAATCCAACCCAATCAACCCAACCTAACCCAACCCAACCCGACCAATCAAACCCAACTCAACAAAACTTAACCCGACCAAACAAACCCAACTCAACCCAACCCGACCAAAACAACACAATTCAACCAAACTCAACCCAACCGAAACCGGCCAACTTACTCCAACCTAATCCAAACCAACCAAACCAAACCCAAGCCAACCCGACCAAATCAACCCAACTTAACTCGATCAACCCTATCAGATCAACCCAACCAAACCCAACACAAACCAATCCGACCAATTCAACTCAACACGACCATTTCAACACAATCCAACCCAATATAACCCGACCAACTTAATCCAACCCAACCTAACCCAAAGCAACCCAACTTGACCAGCCCAACCCAAAGCAACCAAACATAAACTCACCCGAACAACCCATCCCAACCCAACACAACCCAACCCAACCAGACTAATTTAACCCAATCCGATCAATCCATCACAACTCAAATCAACCAAACCCGACCAATTTAATTCAACACAATCCAAATCGACCAACCCAACCCAACACAAGCTAACCCAACCCACCCCAACTCAATCTAACTTAATATAACACAACCCGACCAATACAACCTCATCCGACCTAACTCAACCCAATCCGATCAAATCAACCCAAACTACAATAATTTAACCCAAATCGATCAATTCATCCCAACTCAACCAAAATCAATTCAACCCGACCCAAACCAACTCAATACAACTCAATCCAATCTAACCAAACCCGATCAACCAAACAAAACCCAACCCAATCCAATCTAAAACAACCAAACTTAACTTAATCCAACCTAATCCTTTTTTTACGGAAGGGAAATGCCTGACGCATACCCCGGCCTCGGCGGTTATGTGGGACTTGCACCCACTAAAACTCCTTCGGATGTCCTGAACGAGCCTAATAGCTAAGAAACTCCCAGGAACGCGTGCAGCAATAAAGAAATTTCTGAAATATGTTTTCGCGGCGCATCCTTCGCGCGCGGCAAGACGGAGGGCCCGCTACGGCCACGCAGTTGTCGTGACGAAGGCGGAACCCCAACTCCGCGTGCGGAGGATCAGCTCTAGTCCGGTGGCGGTGCTACCCAGGGGTTCGCGGCTCGCCGCCGCTTCACGGCTTCTCGCGTCCGAGACGCGGGGCCGTCGGCGATGATGGGGGAAAAGGGGCCATTGACCCCGCCTCCCCCGCGCGCTTTCTCATCATCTTCCTCCTTCTCTTCAGGTATTGGGAAGGGAGGTCGCAGACGTCTACCGCCTTCCTCGTCGCCGCTGCCACCCGGCGGCGGAAGAGGGCCCTCTCCCTCTCTCTCTCTCGGCCTCCTCCTCCGACATGACCTGTTCGCAGAAGGAGGAGAATGCCGTCCAGGCTCTCTCCCCGCAGACCATCGCCCTAACGACAGCCGGTAGGGATAGATCGCCACCCGATTTCACAGACCAGTACACCGCGCTCGCTTGTCCAGGCCAGGCAAGCCTCGAGTGTGTGTTGCGCGATGTCCCGGTCCCCGCGCGCAGTCGGCTCCTTTCCTATCCCACGCAGGTACTCCTCGAAACAGTCGTGTCCGGTGAGCACCTGCGTCATGTGGCACGAAAGTCCGCCCCATCCCCTACCAACCCATTCTT